GGTGTCAGGGATTGAACTTGGGTCCTTGCGCTTGCAAGGCAGGCCACCGAAACGCTGATCTAAATCCCCAGCCCTACACTTGGCTCCTATATTACAATATACTGCCAAGAGAACAAAATGATGACAGTATAAATGTTTCACGTATTCATAGCAATATATATACACACACATACACACACACACACACACACACATACACAGAAAAACAGAAAGGACTTCTATTACTTTTTAAAAAACAGAACACAAAAGTTTTTAGTTTGCTCACATATTGGAAAAAATATTAATTCTACAGGTAAATAGCATTTTCTTATATTTGAGTGTATATTTGGAATTAAGGTATCATCTCCTGTAACAGTCAAACCTCCTACTATAGAGCTTACTGTCCCCACTAAGGGCTCCTACAGAAGAATCTCCAAAAATACTAAATATTTAGTATCCACGACCTTCCAGTAAACTACCAAAATAATTCCGAGAAGCTGTTCTGTTAAGATAAAACTTAAGATGGTGTTTTCTAACACATTAACAGTTTTTTCTCCATAATTTGCTTTCTCTGATTCACAAGAATATGAAAGCACTGACTCTAGCTCCTTTATCACATAAATAAGCATGCAGTTAGTTAAAAAAAAATTACCTCACCTATAAAATATATTATAAAGAAATGAATGAGACAAAGGTCTGAGTTAAATACCTTTCTTCCCCTGCCCAAAAGGCAACATTTATTAAGCTTCTGTGCCTAACATATGGTTGACATGTCTTACACATTATTTTACTTCAGTGGTCTGAGGAAGGCACCCTATGACTCCTATTTTACAGAAGAAATTAAAGCTGTGAAGATGCTAATTTGTCTACTGAACACAATCAATACTTAGGGGAGGCAGGACTCAAAAGAAAGTTCTGCCAGACTCAAAACCATTGCTATGTATCTGCTTTTTAAATGGAGAAAAAAATACTTCTGGCCTTCAAAAAAGCGAATGTTTCACGATGGCATAGTGTTGAGTTAGGTTAACAAAATTATTTCTAGAACTTGACACCTAAAGTGACATGTTTATCTAAAAACTCTCACCCACAACAATATCCAAGAGCCCTGTGTGGCCTTTGAAGCAGTGTTCTGCAAACAAAGTGACATGGTGGGTAGGCTGAAGATTGGTACGGACCTTTTCCAACACTGCAATGAAGCTAGGCTTTAGGGCAGCGGCTTCAGATGCTGAATATTACTCTTAGTACCCCTAAAACAGCCCCTTAAAAAGGAAAACGAATGGTTGTAAGAAAACACCACATTCAACAATCTGAAAAAGCAGCAGACTGAGGGAATATCTCCTATGATCCAACCAGAAAATGGATACAAGGTCGTCTTTGCTATGGTGGAACTGTATAACACAGGCATAAACACCCAAACACTGTCAGCCTTGGCTTTTGCTTGCAATCACTGTTCTGACAATGTTTCTCACCTCTAAAGCTAACACTTACTTCTAGATATTACTAAATCCTCAGTAAAGAAGGTATAACTAAGCTGCAGGAACCAGAAGACCACAGAATTAAAAACTATTCTAATATGATTTTTAAAAACACTACAGCCTCAATAGCATTACTATTAGTACACATGGCTATAATTTCTAATGGACCCTGCATCCAACACTCGACCTTTTAGAATAAAACTGAAACAGGAAGTAAACAGATAAAACATCCTCTCAGCAGTGGTCATATCTACGCACTAAATTCATCTAACCCAACACAGAATGCTTCCAGCATAATCTATATACTTATTACATGCAGTTCTAGCAAGTTATTTACAACATCTCATCTTTCAGCGTTTTGTGTTACTATTTTCTTGAGTTTTCACTTCGAATATTTACAATCCCATAAAGTAACATTTAAGTGACTTCTCCAAGGTTCTATTATTACACCTTAATCCAAATTTCATTATCTGTGACACCACAATGGGTATTCTTTATTGCTATGCCAGTAACTCTTCAACCTTAGCACCCAGGTGTTCTGGGACCAACTAGAAGGCCTGCTCAAATATGTTGAGTCAGTAAATCTTAGGAAAGATTCCAGGATTTGCACTCCAATAAGCTACCACGTAAATGCTGATCCTAGTAATCCTGAACCACTGAGGAATTACTGCATTGCTATGATCTTTTGAAAGATAATTCGTTCTCACGACCTATGCTTGGCCAGCTGCAAACAACAAATCTCTAAAGCTTATCAGAACTAGTAAGGAAAAAGAAAAGGCCAAAAAGAACTCAGACGAAGACTGTAAAAGCAACTGCAAAGAATTTTTTAAAGTCTGGTGCCACTGAACGTACTGAAAGGGACCTATAGACCTCCACAACGCAATCCTAACTACGTAATATCATAACTACCCAATAATTCACCTGAATAATTCAAAAGATCTTATGCTCACTTTGGAAAAACAAATAAAGTCTGGGATCCGCTCTTGGAAAACCTATTCAAAGGTTTTTACGATACGAGCAAAAAAGGGGTCAAATTCACTTAGGTGGATTTCCCGTCCCCTATTAAGCGAAACGCCTCTCCTGGGGTTCAAGGGTTGGGTTTGCCACACACTTGTTGAGAAGTTACTGTCCCGTCAGCACTTGAGACTGCAAGTTGTGTCGCTGATGCAACTTCGCCGTAAACTTCCTTCTTTCGAAAGGACCCTTCAAAACTCCCTCCCGGCGCCTGGGCACATAGTCGCTGGGAGGTCGGTCCCCAGCAACAACGACGGGGGCAACCGCGATGGCGCCCGGGTGGAGGCTACAGGGAACGCCCTCCCGCTGAGGGTGCCCAGGGCGAGGGGCTGAGCCGCACACTGCCCCACGC